AATTATTTCACTCAACACCTGCCAGAGAAGACTGTGTATTGAATGATTCCAGTATTCCCTTCCAGTCCTATGTCCTGCTTTCCTATGACCAGGGAAGACAAAGAAACCTGCACCTCACATGTCTTGCTGAGGTCTTGGTACCCGAGGCACACACTGAGCCCACATCTACACAGACAGGGATACTTCCTAAAGTCTTTCACCTTAAACGGGTCTACTTTCCCTGTCTTGGCCTCACTAGCATACCACTCTTTCATTACTCCATCATGCCCGGGCATCGCTTTTTGATCTTAGCCCAGGAAACTCGTGCAGACCTCTCTGTAATAAATGTTTACAGGGACCAAATGTATCCTTGGGTTCACTGGGGAAGGCCGGAAATCAGAGAGCGATTAAGAGCAGGAAGATGGCATTTCAGCTTCTTTCTCACTGAAGCATGTGGTTTGTTTGAGACTGGGCTCTTTATTATGTATTTCTTCAGATTTAACTTACAGGCTCTTTTTCTTTTCCTGTTCTGGAGCAAGCTGCTTATATTTCACAGCTTTACTTGAAGCCACAGCAAAAGCTGTGCTGGAAATGCTACAGCGTGAGTCGGTATCACAGTTCAGCAAATCAGACACCAAATCCCTGGTGCGCCTTGGCAGCTGGGCACGCTCCAGACCAGCCAAGCTGTGGCTGGCAAACCAGGGTGCTCCTGATTCTCCATCTCCTGGGAGCACATCACTGGTAGCGGCAGATCAGGACATGAGATAAGCAAGCTAGGGATCTCTTCATTAACCTTATCTTTCCCCTGTTCCAAAGCATCTATGTAAAAAATACTCCATTTGACACAGCTGTTTTTCACAGGACTGAGAGCCACATTGAGGCACAGATCATCCCTTTTTGGTTCTGCTTCCACTGAGGGGCCCTGGGAACTGGGCAGGGAGACAGCAGGCTTTCAAAACCCAAGCTGTGAAGGAGCAAGAACACTCCTAAAATGTCCTTTCTAAAAGGGAGCCTCCCTTTTCAGTTTAAAATGCTATCTTTGTTACCACCCTCCGAAAACTCTCTAGCAAAGAGCTGAATGTTATTAGAAAAGAGCTGAGTATGGGTGGGTAGACAAGAAAACAAAAGGAAATGGAAGTGCTGGAAATTGATTTTCCATTTGAATCTATTCTTTTTTTATCTTATTTTTAATAAGATTTTATAAGTTTATTGCATTGCTTTCTATTTTCTTTCAGGGTGTGTTATCTTTTGTGACTAGGTTTTGACTAAAATAAACCTAAGATACTAATTAAGGGCAGAATTGGAAACCCAAAGATTTGCTTCTCGTCAATGCCAAGTGGTAAATCCTTTAATGCTCTGGGATTTTGCTCTATAGCTCTAAATTTCCCATTGGTATTTAGTAATCTGCTGATTGCCTTTACTTTCATTCTTTAGTCTTCAGAGTTTTCATGTTAAGGCGCTCACTTACAGTAGCTCTGTGTGTTAAGGGCAATGAGTTAAAAGCTATAGGGTTTTTATGAAATTCCAACCTTGTTTTTTCTATTGAGTTCCCAACTACTGTGTTATATCATACTAATAAGAGCTGTACTCTGGCTGGACAATTGGCAAAGTATTGCAGAGTCCTATGGGAGCCATGACATCATTTTCAATTTGCTTATCTGAAGTCCTCCAAAATAACAGGGTGACTGGTGAGCAACTGCATTGCATTTTCACTCCAACCAACTCACCTCTTCCTGCTATGACGTTATGGGAACTGTGTCACTGTGCAGTTTACACCCAATGGCTACTCCCTGGAGGCCTCAGATGCACCTTTCTCCATCACCCCTCAAGGGAATGGAGGTGTTTAGTGACCATTAAGCCTGTCTTTCCATTCCTAAGGGCTAAGCAATAGCAATTGTGAAGGAAAGGACACCACTTCCTTTAATGTATGCCCCTCCAAGTTTGCCTGCAGGCTTAGAGACACCAACGAAGTGTTTCAGGCAGTTTTGTGATAGGGTCTCACAACCTACTTGACACTGGGATCAACAAGAACAGAGGCTGGTGAAATGATCTGGAACAGCTTGGGTACCTCTGGCCATGTTTGGACTGCATTAGCTCAAGAAGACTTTTATTTTTTAGTTTTCTTCACTCCAGCTAATAGTGAAAAAGATGGTCTGTTTACTGTGAGCTGAAGAAAGACGTCATGACAGAGCTGGTTTAACCTTTGCTGTGGGCTCTTCTTTGCTTAGGGAATAAAGACTGGAGGTAGGAATTTTAGAATTGGAGAGAGACTATGACATTTTCCGTTTTACTCATTATCATTCTAAGCATATTGTTTATAGACAGAGAATCTTGGAAAAATCTGTTATGAAATCATCAAGTCCTTTTTTAATTTAATCCAAAATTTTAACATTTTCCTTAACTATGTCCATCTCTCCCTTAGAAAAGATAATCTAGACACTAAGTTTTTAGTAAATTTCTAACACTCAGCTGAAATATTTTATTTTCCCTAGCTAAGGGTCCGTCCATGCTGCCTCCTCTTGTTTTGCAATGAGCACCTTTCAAAGCAAGAGGGCAATGCCATTTTTCACAATGCCATAGTTGTCATTTACCTACTTACTGCTCTTATACCAAAGAATCATTTATCCACTAAAACTTGTACTTGCATTTTCTCACTTGCAAAGAGAGTACACGTTTAACTGCTACCTGCTCAATCCAGCATCTCATATAAGGATTTCTCCCTCATCTCCCAGCCAGGTTGCACTGATGTGCTTTTAAGCATTGGTTCTCAGAATCTGGGTAGTTTAAACCTTTCTAGCAATTTTGGTTAACTAGACTCGGAGAAGAGATCTAAAGCTGCATGTTCTGAGTAATTTGGGAAAACAAAATTGCTTAGGCAGCTTTTGGTAAAACCAATGCCATAAGCTCCCAGCACCTGAAACAGCTGACTTGACAGTACAAGTGAGTGCAGACTAAAGGCTCTAGCTCCCTGCAGTGGGGATGACATAACTGCATGAGGAAGACCTGTTTACATCACCGAGATAACCTATTTCTTTAAAAATAGCAAGGTCAGGGAGGCAATAAAGCTGTCAGCATGGCAATCAGTGGTGATTGTGTTCCACCAGCCACAGGGTGGTGGGGACACTCACCAGGCTGGGGACCAGAACAGGGGCTACACAATGAGGATGGCCACGTTTGAGTAAACAAAGTTTCGGCAATACCAGAGTGCTATTGTCTGCTGAACAGCTCTATTTGTGCCAATGATATTTCCAGGTTAGCTCCTCCTAGGCCCATAAAAACCTTCATTTTACTCTTTTTGCTGTTTTTTTTCTCTTTTTTTTTTTTCTTCTCAACGCAATGATGGATAGAGTACCCATAAAACCTCAGGGCATCATGTACGAAATCCCCAAGCCCTGAGTCAGGTGTGGAGCAAATGGTCACCGAGCAGGCTTCCACCTAGTCCAAGATTTGGCTCACATATGTCTATTTTCTGGTCACTGGGGTGCTCCACTCTTTGTTCACTGTGTAAATGAGCATCTGACCGTGGGAATATCTCATACTGAAGTCCAGGCCAAGAATGGAAAGCCATCAGATCTATTCAGCTAAGCAGCCTCATGAGGCACTCACACACTCCAGGTGGGAGCAGAGCCCAATATTTTTATTGTGCTAAGAGTATATATTCTCAGAAAGGAAGATGTTGTGTAGGGTTCACATCCTGTTAGAGCATCGGATATGTTCCAGCTATTGCCGTTTCCCTTTGGATAGCATGTCCCTTAGCTGAGTCTCCAGTTTAGATGCCCCTGGACAATAAGTTACAGTGATTTATCTGTGGGGGGACTTTTGCACATGAGTGTTTTGGGTCAAACTGTACAGTATTGATATTGATTATATATGAGCAAAAGTGTTTAAGAATAAAATATTTCTTGGTGTACCCAAAGTGAAACATAGGCTTGTGCCACTGGTACCACACAGCAAGGCTTTCCCTGTTAAATTAGGCAAGACACCAAGTCTTCACCAAATTTTGGGGAAATTTTTGATTTTCAATTAATTTTTCAGCTTAAAACATCAGGGTTGGAGTTCAGAGACGAGAAAGTCCAAAAAAGGGCATTATCTTCATGTGGGTGAAATCTGGTTGAAGTGAGTGCAGATGCCATTGCCTTGTACAGCTTTCCTTTCCTTTGGTGATGGCTCAGCATCACATTCAGAATAGCTCAAGGTAGTTTTAATCTAAAATTCCTGACAAATGCACCCATCTTCTCTCATCCTGACCAAAATCAGATCGATGAAATAAACCGATTTGAAAGTGAAGCTTCAAATCCAAACTTCCATCACTGTTTAAAAGGGTTAGAGCTGGGATGTGATTCTGAGCAATTGAATGGGATAAAATTGTGGTTGACCACAAAATTTAGTTGCAATTCCAACAAAACTTTTTAAGAGCTTTACGTACCTTTGTTGCTTTGCATAATATTTTTTGTGTGCCATCACATTTATTGATTTTGACGGGGACCATAAACAGGCATACAGTGAGACAAGGCTATTTCCATGGACTATTTTTGTTCTGTACTGGGGAAAGTAAGGGAGAGAAAAGAAAATCTGTTTCTGTAGGTTTTCCAGCTCAAAAAGACATCAGAAAAAAAGAAAGTGTGTGCTTTTATAAATGGAATAGTTTATCAAAGCTTGCCAGTCACCAGATCCTAATTACCTGTTCGTATTACAGCTAATTACATTGATTCTCTATAGATGAGGTGGACTTCTAAAGCAATGAAGGAATTTAAACAGAATGATTTTTCAGTTTTGGTTCTATTTACAGACTGTGGTATGTCAATTTGAAGAAAAGCCAGAATCTGAAACTGAAACGCCAGTGTTTTCTTCTCACTATAATTGGAATCTTTCAATACAAGATTCCAATGTTTGAAGGTGTTCACTGCAAAGTTTGGTCCTTTCCCATGAAGTTTCAATGCTGATGTACAAAGCATTAAATTCGATGTTGGCTGTCTCCTTCTCCTATTGAGCTCAATTGGGATTCTATACTTTGATTCCAGGCAAAGCACAGTCAGGCGAATGCTAAACTCTTCTGGCTGTCCAAAAGATGCTGTGGTCCAGATATCCTTCTCTGGATCTGCAGGCTGTGCTTTGCAGGTAGTACTGGCCTTTCCTGAGTCATCAGTAAAGTGTAACCTTGACTGAAAAGAGAAGTTCTCTTTCTTGGTTGAACAAGATAACAGTGTTGACCTGAAACACAATTGTCATTTAGTGCTTCTTTGGTGCAAGCCTGTTTAGAAGCAAGTTGAATAATGATATTTTTTTTGAGGATAAAAAAATATCTCTTAATGAAGAGACTGGTTTCACCTACACCTCCTTTGCCTCAGGGACTGGGTGTGAAGTGAAGTAGCTCATCACCCATGGGTTTGCCATACTATCTGTAAGGGCGTGAGAAGAGTTGTGTTTGTACCTCTGCCAAGCTATTCCCTGCTGGTCTTTAAGAAACCAACTTGCAAAAAGATCTTTCCTGCAGAGTGTTGCAAGGACTGTCTTGAATTTGGCTTCAGGAAAAGGTTTTATTCATTTTTTTTTTAATCTGGATTGCTTTACACTATTAAAAAACCCCAATAATCACACGTTTGTGTTGCATGAGGCAGAGGACCTACATCACCTACAGTGATGGTGAGCTGGGTGGCAATTATTAAGCACTAGAGCAACACATCAGCATTATTTCAAATCCATTCTTTCATCCAATGCAGCAGTAATATCTTCTGGACAACGGATTTTGGAAAAGTTGAAATGTTTGCTTTACAAAACAGACATAAAGTTTCTCCTTCAAGGTGCTAAATTTGTGCTGAGCTGGTCCAAAACACGACTGCATCTGGCTATGTCTCATGTCTGCTACTAAAAAAATGTCCTAAATTCCAGACAACCTCTGGGGCTTTGAAATAAAACTCATTAATCCTGCATTTGAATTTAATATTTGAAATTTTATCCTAATCTTTTTTTCTTCCACATGAATTAACTTTAGAAAACTTGGAAAGAAACACAGGGGTGTTTTTTTTTTCTTAGGTTGGGATTTTTTTTAGAGAGAGAGAGGGAGAACATTCTTAACAAAGGGTATAAAATTAAACTAGATTTGACCTCTGCCTTTAGCAGATTTTCCACCTGGTCTGTGCAGGAAATCAACTTCTATATAGCAGCTCTTTCATAAGGAATAACATACATGAGTCTGTAAGTGACAGTTTTTCTTGGGTGGACAACAATGTTAGTTACATTTTATGATTAATTGATAAATGTTTTGATATGGTGCCTGGGCTCTGAGTCAAAAATCACTCTAGTTAGATGATCCAGCGCTTGGGAAGCTGAGCCAATTACAGCTCAGGCACAGTGAAAACAATTCTAAAATATTTGAGACTAAAAATGTGCATAGTTGTTAAGGAATCTTGCACGTGGGTGTATGGTGGTATCCTGAATTACAACTGCTTGGTGGGCCAATATCTTGAGGAATGCGGGGAAGTGCAGAGATTCGAGACTCTTGCATCTATATTTCAAAAGACTTGGGAAAACAGAAGAACCACATGGACTCTTGTGGCTGGGCACGTGCTGAGGAAAACCAGACCGTGGGCCAAAATGTACTTTTAGTCCCTTGGGTTACACAAATCCCTTTGCTTTTTTGGGGAAGGCTTTAGGTTTCAAGTCTCCTTCCCTTGACTCCTAACTGGCTCCTCTAGGCTTGCTCTTTTCCCTTTCAGGCTCCAGAACTTACTTTCTACACCAGGCTTCCTAACTTGTCCTCAGATTCGCACCCAGACTCTAAATCCTAATGTTTTTCTAAATGATGTACAAGAAGTAGGACTTCATCATGCCTGTGGCTATAGACCAGATTACCACTACCAGTGCGCTAGCCTGGACTCAGAGGTTGTGGGTGCAGCCCAGCATTGCTGTGAACCTACTTTAGACACAGCTGCTCTTTGTAATGAAGGTCCTCTAGAAGAATAACTTACCTTGCAATTAAGGGCTGCTTTCTCACATTATTAAGAGAACAAAGAAAGAGTCCATATTTTTCTTTCCACAGGTAAGTGAATATGGAGTCATTTTTTGGGTAGGATTTTGGGGTCATCAACTCAAAGTCCATTTGGAAAATTCCTTATTGCAGGTTGCTAATGACTTTGCATGTGACACACTGCCAGCTGTTCCCAACAAAGTCAGTGGAAACAGCGTATCTTCTGGTAACCCAGCCTTCAGGACCTAAAATATTACATGGAGGTTTTGAGGGATGCATGCTTGGGTTTCAGTGCTGCCTCACATCTGGAAACTGGGAAGAAAACTCCGCACATCAGAAATCCTAGTGGCTGTTAGCTGTTTATCATGCATTCTTCATCCAAGGATCTGATCCTAACCCCAAACATTTTGTTGCCTTCAGTGGATTTTTATTCCAAGGTCAAGACCAGGCATCACTTCAATATCTAATGGGTATAGTTACTCATGGGAGCTATTTCATATCACTAAAGCCATAAACCCCTGAAGGGTGTAGATTTGGACAGCTATTGAGGATGTTCAAATAAACTTAGATCTATATATTACTCCACCTTCTTATGACACTTGGCTCATGATATACTGCTGTGTCTACAGAAGGTGGTAAGGAGAGCAAAAGAACATACATTCACATGGAAGAACATCTTTCTTATCCTTGTTTTATGGTGAGGATCCATAAAGAAGGATGTTTCTCTAGCCTGCTAAGTGGTCAAAAATGCAACTTTTCCAGTAATTCCCTTATTTCAGGCACCTTTTGTATGGTATTGTACTCTTTTCCCACCCTCCCTCCATCTTTGACACTGTTTTGATCATAGCTCTTGGATCTAAACACACTTTATTTAACACTGGAGGATTTCTTCGTTGCTGATATGACAGGAAAATTTCTAACAACATACTGTAAGCTTTACTGTTCATGACTTCTTAATCATGCAGATTTTATTTCATGTTAAGCTAGCAACTGAACTCTTCTAATAAACAGAGTAAAATCTAATTAGGCTACTGAAGGGGAACAGAGGAATTTATACTCCTCCAGACACACAGACATTAGGAATTCTTCCTCAAACATACACACAGGCTTTCTGGCAGCAGTCTCATTCAGAAAGTGGCTAATGATCATCCTAATTTGCACTTAGCTGATACTGTTTGGAGTTCCTTGCAGATGGAAAATATACTTCTTTCGTGAGATCATACAGGGTAGCTTGGCCTTGTGGATTGTGCATAGAGAAAAAGAAATCCCAATTTCTAATCCCAAGGCTCGAACTACTTGCTGTGTGGTCTCTCTTCCTCTCTCAGTTTCTCCATGCACAATCTTACTTATCCGGTTCATTCATGGGATTGTGATGATTACTCAGTCATTTGGCTGTAATGTGTTTTAAAAGCAAAAGGCACAATTAAAGCACTGTGATTAGAGACTCAACGGCACCTCCAAAATATATGTATGAGAGGTTGACATCAAAGATTAATTTAGCTGGTTTCTTGTCTTCATTAGGCCCATAATTATTTCAAATGTTGCTGGCAAGAGAGCTCAAAAACTGGCAAAGCTTTGCCCCATCCAACCTCAAGGGAAGCAGACCCCCATGCAAGGGGGCACATCTCCCCACACAGAGGACATATAGCCAGACTACATCCAAGATGTCAGGGATATCTCCATGCACACAATGTTTCCTGGCTTACAGACCCATGGTTCATCCAGAGATTATGCCAGCTGAAGCTGTTACCCCTTACAACCAAAACCAGCTCATCTAGCCAACGGGTTCCAGCTTGGGGTCTCTGCTACTTTGGATTGGGATTGATGCATCGTGCAAGGGGCAGAGAGTCCCCCAGCAAGTTTCCTTACAGTTCCCTGCAAAGGACAACCCAAATGTCCCACAGCAGCCCTGGCCTCAACACTAGGAATCATAAGGTATAGAGCCAGAAACTGGCTGTAGAAGTGTGGGCACCATGGAGCCTACCCAAGGCATACAAAACACTGAGAACCCATGCTTGAGGCTTTTCCCTGAGCCTGCCCATTTTCCAGTAGCCTTTCTTCTGCTGGAGAGCTGTCATCTCCTTTTCCAAGACTGTTTAGCTCTTTCTATGTTGCTTGTCAGGATAGTTCATATAAAACCATTAGTCATTCCTTGGGTTTGAATGGAGTGCAGGGAGAGAATAAGACTGGAATAAAAGCTTGGGTTTGTTTATAAGTAAACAGAACCTGACACAGCCCCTGACAACCTCAAGAGACATGTTTCTATTGAGTGCAATAAGGCAGGGTGCCAACCAGCTCTGATCCCCTGGAGGTGACTGGCTCAGGAAGGATTCAGGCCTTAGTGAGTGTAGGTTTCTTCAGGGAAGGGTATAGCCCCAGGAGTAGGAAGAGAAGACCTGCGTGCTTCTATTTAAGATTTTGAATAATCATTTAGAAACAAAACAAGCAAAAAACCCCAACACCAAACAAAAACCCCAAGAAACAACCCTCCTGCAGTGGGCTGGAGCTGATATATCTTCTCATAATACAAAGAGGTTTTGTGACATGGAATCACTGGCCTGAAACCTGGAGGCATTGCTTGGTTTTAAATTATACTTTATTCAGGCAAAACTCCAGTTGATGTGCGAGAGCGCTGGGTCATATTAGGATTTGGCCCACAAGGACAGAGGAGAGCCAAGCTTAGAATGTCACATAAACATATTAGCTAGAGACTTGGCTTTCTCTGAGGTCCCAGGATGGAATAGGACCACAATCTAGTCTTCTGTGATGCACACAAGGAAGTTAAATCTGCCCTGCATGGATTGCTAAGAGAACAGGATCCAAGCATATACACAAGCATCCGTACCACCTCTTCCTCTTCCCGAAACGTCTAGATTATCGTCCTTTTTGTGTGACAGGTAGAAACAGAGCTAGACCGCTTAACCTGTTCTGTGGGGGATGAAAAACTATTAGAAATCAAACCACCAGTTTTTCATGCTGAAGTTGAAAGCGTGTTCTTCCTAGTGATGAGGTATGAAGAGGGCATATTGTTAATTTAAAGCACACTCTATAGCTTTTTGCAGGAGCAAAGTACTTTTGAAAGTTTACAGATGTAGTAGAAATTCCCTGTAGCTTAGGAGTCAGTTTTCTGCCAATCAGAAAGCTGAAGGTA